GGCTCGGCGGGCAGGTGAGTTCGGGCACGGGCACCCGTGTTCCAGCATGGTAACAGCTTCCTTAACCTTCCTGCAGCCTTCCGCTGCTCTGGTGCTTGTCCTGCTTCCCTGGTGCCGGTSCCGAGCGGGTCAACAGCCTTTTTCCCCAGCACCCTTTCCCGGTAGAAAGCTCCGCATGTACTGGGATGTTGTCTTATCTCTGGTACAACAATAATAACAGTACCATACAGAGAAGAAGAGGAAGGAAAAAAAAWTTTCCCTCTGTTGCTGCATTAGTTTCAGTATGTTGATTCTAGTTTTCCCACCCGCTAATTTCTCCTCATTTTCTTACCCACTGTAGTATTTTGCTGTTTACGCTGTAGCGTGAACGGAACAGTGCAGCCTGGGGTAGGTGCATGCATCTTGTGCTCATGTGGAATCTATTTAAGACCCTTTGTGGGGCCTCATTCCAAACTATGTGCCCTTCAACCTAAACTCTGTAGCAGGAGTGAGTTTTTTAGAGAGCCATTTAGATTCTTGTAACACATGGGAGAGTTTGGCAGCATTGTGAGTTGAGTGAAAAAAGCTGGGGGGGGTTGTGTAGCTGAAATARGTACAGAAAGAGTTTGTGTACACTTTGTGTTTTCTYCGTGCCGTACCTTGCGCTGACGAGRAAACTGAAGTTAGCGGAGCAGAGATATGTGATAAATGCTATTTGCTGGCTAAGTCGGACGGCTTGGACTCGGATTCTGGAGGATGAGAGTTTGTCCTCTCTGATGCGAGCGGATTAATTGTCCCGAGCGAGCTCCCCGGGGGAAGCCGTGCGGTGGAGCCCCGGGTGCGGAGCCGGTCTCGGGGCGGCGCCAGCCTCCCAGGTAAGCGCTGCTCGCTGGAGCCTTGCTCGGCTTTATGTTGTAGGATATCCTAGTGACAGCAATGCACAATTCCGTTATTTTTCCTTAAGGGATTTAAGAATATTTTTCTATGACCTAATCTCCAGGCAAAACGCCTATTCTTTAAAATTTAGCTCGTAGGCAACAATAGCTCTAAAACCTTTTGAGACTTTGCATGTCTGTAGGGATTAGCCAGAGGGGGGCCTTTAAGGCAGCTGAGCAATTTCTGTCAGTCTCCCTTTAGTGAGGTTTGGAATGCATTATAGAATAAATTTATTCCCTGCATAATTCTAATAAAATAGAGAAACACTTATCCCATCTGGGAGACTTAGTTTCTGATTGTAACTATATAAATCAACATGGATATACTCAGACCCAGGATTGTGTTACAAATTCCTTACTGTGAAATAGAGGTTAGGATAAAATACAGTCAGAAGATTGAAGTGAAGCTCTTGGATATAGATCCTCATCTGTTAGATTAGTATCTCTCATCGGGTTTTAATTTACTACAGTTAAAAGTCTAAATAAAATAATTCAACAGAACAGTCTCRTAACAGCGAAGAAGCTGAATTTATTTCCAAAATATGGGTGGAACAGGTAGAAACCTGTCTCCAGCGAAGAACTTCTGACTCTCTGAATAATAGCACAGATAATGTTACTGTTTAAGTAAACTTCTTGAAGCCCAAGAAGAGAGCAGAATCTATTGAAAGCAGTTGAGACTGAAAGCAAACTTATGTATTACAAATTCATGCATGTTCAGAAAAGGTCACTGCTAATTAATCATTCTTAATTATTGAGAAGCAAGGAAAATAGGAGTCTCACGTTTCCCCCATCAGATTTATGATTAGCAAAGAACTAAAATAATCTGAAAAAGCTAATAAAGTCATCCAGGAAGTTGAGCTCATTTCCAATATTAGAATAAATGCTTTACCGACAAAAGAGGTGAGTTCATAGGAAGCTGATGGCAAGCTTTGTTTCCCTAAATGTTCAAAGCTTTGTTTTTCTTTTTCTACAAGCACAAAAGAAGTGATGTCTTAGTGGTTAAATCAAAACTTCCATAGTGTAAATGTTTTTAGCAAATTAGGAATGTTGGGAGTCAAGCCTGCCTGTAGTGTGCTTGCCTGTGCTCCACAGGAAGATCCTTTAATGGACATAGGTAACACCAGTGGATCTTCTAAGTGCCTATGTTAGTTTGATACATGGATAAAGGATGAATTCTATATCCMCTTGCTAAAAGAGCTGTTGAGATGTGGAGTGAATATTGTAATARTATTGGTCACTAAGTATCTGTCAAGAAGCAAAATGAGATTTTACCTTGTATTCTTCTCCACAACTGGGGAYGTTATGTTCTTCAAAAGCTTTTGGCTCAATTTTGCATCTAGTCAGGTCAGGTAAATTTTTCCATGTCAAGTAGCTATGGGTATGTAGGGGAGAGCATGGCCTCAAATGCAATGTTAAATGRAGATAAGTCACAGCCACCACATCCAGATGAGAAGTGTATTGTAGGTTTTAACTAAGGCTGTTGTATAACCAGGAATCATTGAAGGATGTGTTTGCAAACAGCCATTACCCACCAGATATCTACAGGTCAGACCTGAAGTTTAGGTAGCAGTCGTATTAAAAAACCCCCAAGCCAATGGTAATTTGTATTCCCTTACCTATAAAGGCAAAAGAATAACAAAGGATGACACAATTCAAAATTATTAAGAAACAGCAATTTTTTAAGTGTCTGCACTAAGTGGAGTCCAAGATGTTCCARCTCACTTTCTCTGAATTCCAGTGTTAGAGTTCTGCACTTCTGCTTGTTTTTCTTGCTGTGCAAGTCTCTTGTAGAGCTCCGCTGATTACCTTGGCCAGCTATTCTRTCCTGAGATTATAATGCATTATATTGCATCTATACCACAGGAAATGGAGCTTCCCCTTTAACACTGCTTATTACCATGCGAGGAGAGTTTCTGGGGGTGGAGTCGGGCAGGCTGGATAAAAGCCTGCGGGATTTGCAGCCGGCTGAGCCTGCAATCAGCATGAACTGCAGCCTGGAGCACCGAGCGCTGCTCAGCTCTGCCATGGAGGGACAGCGGGACAGGCTGTGCCTCCAGACTCTCTGGGACTTTGTCACAGCAAGGGAGACATTGATCAAGTCACCGGTTTTTCCAGTGCTGTTTTCTTTTACAGCATATATGGCTTTCTGTCTTCCGTATATTGCACTGGACTTCTTAAGCATCAGACTACCAGACCTGAGAAAATACAAAATCCAGCCRCAGAACTATCCAAGCCTGGGAATGATGGTGCCTTGCATTATTCAAAGCGTGTATCACCATGTCGTTTTGATCTTCCCAGTGACAGTTCTGCACTGGTACTGGAGACCCATGACTCTACCAGGGATAGCTCCAGAGCTGCCTGAGGTCCTGCTGCAGGTAGCAGTTTGTCTGCTGCTGTTTGATTTTGAGTATTTCCTGTGGCATTTGCTCCATCACAAGGTGCCTTGGCTCTACAAGACCTTCCACAAGGTGCACCACAAGCATGTGTCGACGTTTGCCCTTACTACACAGTATTCYAGTGTATGGGAGTTGCTCTCACTGGGATTTTTTGCTGCTATAAACCCACTGCTCCTCGGATGCCATCCTTTGACAGAAATGATTTTCTTCCTTGTAAATATTGGTTTGTCAGTGGAGGACCATTCAGGATACGACCTTCCGTGGTCAACTCACCGACTTGTGCCTTTTGGATTGTATGGAGGAGCACCACATCATGATCTCCACCATCTGAAATTCAAATCAAACTATGCTCCTTACTTCACCCACTGGGACAAACTCTTTGGGACATTCATGGAGTCACATGTAACATCCCATTCTAATTAAGAATGTTCAGCTGTGGATGAACTCTTATTCTTTATAGACTAAACTGGGACTTTATTTTTTTTAAAGACACACAGAAGATTGTATATTTGAAGCTGCCTATAAAAGCAATACTATTTATAACAAATCCTCTTAATATATGTGTATTTGTATGTGTACTTGGAACTGCCTGTGTTAAGTGACTGCAAATGGGAAAGTGAATATCTGTTACTTAAATTTGAGTCAAAGGTTTAAGGGAAGCATTAAGAGATATTCTCTCTCCTTTCCTTCTTTCCTGCTTTTATAAAGCATGTATCATGTTACTGTATGTTTTATACATATGCCAGAACATTATCTTACTRTTGTAGGATGATTTATGATGTAAACAGAAAAGGTATACATCATGGATTTTGTGGAGTTTAATCTGCCAGAGAAAATTATTGCGCAAYGATTTTGTAAAATATTGCTGCCAAGCCATGGTTGTTGGCTAACTGTTAAATAATTTTGATATTTATATTTTCAACCTTTATGTGCCATCTCTTTTTAACAGAGAATAAATATGATTATTCTTTTAAAATTGTATGATGTTTCATTTTATTAATTCCTCTGTTTTTATTAGGAACAGGTATGAATCCTTTCGCATAGTTGTAATTTGCCTGAATTATAGAATCATAGGATTGTTTAGGTTGGAAAAGACCTCTAAGATAGAGCCCAGCCATTACCCTAACACTGCCAAGTCCACCACTAAACCCTGTCCCTGAGTGCCACATTTACACATCTTTTAAATGTCTCCAGGGATGGTGAGTCAGCCACTTYCCTGGGCAGCCTGTTCCTCTGCTTGACAATCCTTTCAGTGAAGAGATTTTTCTTAATATCCAGTCTAAACTGCCCTGCCACAACTTGAGGCCAYTTCCTCTTGTCCTTTCCCTTGTTACCTGGGAAAAGAGACCGACATCCACTACAGTTTCAGAGGTGCTGACTCTTATTATTAAAATATTGTAATATTATTTCAAAAGTGAACCATTTCCTTTTTCTCCAGAGTCATATGTTGTTTTAAGATAGTTTTCAATTTTGTAGAAACATAATATTGAAGAATGCAGTTTAAAAAGTTATGGTGAAATTTTATTATTTTATTTCTGAGAAGCTTGAATAATTTTCACTTAGCAGCCCCATAAAAGGGAGAATTGGTCCTTCACAGTCACATCAATTGTTACTTGGATGCAAAAACCTGGCAAGGAATATAAACAGGGTTTCTACAAAGTAGATGGTTCTTCAAGCAGATTTCAGAGGAATAGAATCAAACCTTTCAGGATCCTGAGACATAGAACAAAGCTTCATGTTTCTAGAAGAACAGTTATATAGAGAAGATTAAAATGTAATCTCACAGAAGTCAGCCTGAAAAAATCAGGCGTGAAGAGATAAGCAAGCCTTTGATGTCTCATTCAGCAGAGATTCACACACAAGAATAATGTGCACTACAAAACATTTTAATGCTTGTAATCATCTACTCTGTGTTACAAATAAACTTCCCAGGACAATGATGGAAACAGAGAAAGCACAAATAATGTAGAAAGTGTGTACGGAACACTTACACATCATCATCCAAAAATGTCTTTGTCCTTAGGTTACGTCTAGAGGGTTGTGTGACCTTACAGAGGCTGTTTGTCCAGTGRAAGAGAGAGCCCTTAGTTTTTCCAACAATGTGAATTTATGAAGGGAACAGCACTTTGAGACACTGCGTCTTTTTGATAACAGGAAATAATTTTCATAAACAGTACAAAATGCTGCAATCTTAGTACTTAAATACTCTCTCTCCTCTCTGGAAATCACAGAAGAGGAACCCTTCTTCTCCTTGCTAAGAACATGACACATACTGAGAGCAAAAACTGAGGCTTAAAATAATGCTGGGATTTGCCATTCATCTGTTAAGCTGTGAGAAAGATTCCCAGTCTTTCTGATTGTTCTAACCTTAAATATCTTGGTGTGTTCTAGAAAGAGTCGGAAGTAATCTTTTCTGCCAAATGCAGGAGGCAAAAAACATTTTCTGATTTCTTTGATCTGTTTAGCCATTTTGAGATGTCCCAAAGTTATCCTTTCAATTCTAGAAATCCCACTTAATCCACTGGCAAATTCTGAGCCTCTGGCAAGGATAATCTGTGGTTTCAATGAGTTATACCTTATACAATATATTGTAACTGTACATGATAACAATCAGTTTCATGTATTATTGACTCTCTGAGGAAGCAAGGCAAGGCTGACTGGTATTTGGATATTTTCCTGTAGGAAGACTATGAGCAAAACCCCCAGAAAATTTGGAACTACACCCATGGGGATTATTCWGATTTCTGTATGAAGCTTAAGAGGTGTTACAGTTTTTACCCCTGGAGAGAGTTCTAGTCAGCTGCAGGCGAAACTGTGCCTGCTCTTGACAAGTCAAGCGAGGTGATTGTCTGATTTGGCATTGACAGTGCTGAGGATGATCAAACTGGCAATGGAARGAGGTGATGTGCTGTACATTGATCCTGCCTGCTCCTTCCTCTGTCACATCCTCAACATTTGCATCACCTCAGACACACGCCAAGAATGCATTTCCTCAAATATGGAATTTCCCCCAGCTTCTATCTGTACCTAATCTCTAGCCAATCAGACCTGGAACTTCGGTTTAAAGGCTCATAATTGCAAGAATTGAAATACTCCAAAAGAAAAAAAAAATGTTGTTAAATGGATATTTGGCTAATACATGTCTGAAATGGCTTTTTTGAATCCCAGATATAAAAATATACAGATATAAAAATATCTGTATTTCATCCTCATGACATAATCCTAGGACATTTCCCCCATTTCTCTAATGCTTTTGAAGACAACTTAGGTTTTAAATTCTGAGGGATTGAATCCATTTGTGTGTTGTGTGCACTTTGAAGTGCTTTCTGTGGCAGTGTACTTTAGTCTAAATTTGGTTGTGTATGTGAGAAAAACTCAAGAGCAGAAGGCCCAAACAAATACGTAACTTCAGGCCCTTGCAGTTCAATGAAAACATATACTAGATTTTTTTTCCTGTTTTCATTGAAAGCTCAGCATATACTGTGCCACTGAGCATGAGAGGACAGTAAGTTCTGTGTATTGATAGTGCTGATATTTAAAAACAAGATTATTTAGATGTTACTTCCTATATTTGCATTTCCCCGTGGTCTTTACCACAAGACTTTACCAAAAAAAAAGGAAAAGCATGACACTTGCCTGTAAGGGTGTATGTAAGAACAYCAAACCCAACTTTCTCCCTTCTGTTCTAAAATTCTTCTAGCTTCCTTCCTCTTTATAATGTGATGGGGTGTTCCACACAGACTTCCTATCTAATCTGCTGAAAGCTAAACTGTGGTCAWTTGTGAATAAATAAAGGACATTTGCAGAGACCCTTGAAGCTATAAAATGATTTTTTTTGATGCTCCTATTGTTCACTTTTTATCTTTAAAATTAATAAAGGTTGAAGTAATAAGATTTTATGTATTTCTTGATCTTAATATTTAGGTGCACATTAAATATTGAACTCTTTGTCTCCTCTTGTGAATTGCAGTAATTCCCAAATTCTCACTGTCAATTAGTACTATACTTTTCCTAAAATTTAGTCTGGGTCTTCCAAATGATACCTGGTTTGGAAATTTTGAGGTAACAGTAAAACAGGGCAAAGGGACAGGTTTTTACTTAATGGGTGTATTTGTAGTGCTTCTGCAAAGTGGGTTCCACACACTGTGTGTTTCAGAAGGAGCATATGGTGCTCAGAGCCATGCTCAATATTCAGCTCTGGAAAAGGCCTGGACCTCCCTCGCGTTGATCAAGTGCAAGAGCTTTACAGGGGAAAACTGACACAGTTCCAGTCTGAAACTGTTATTTCTTATGATTTTTTATGATTTGAAAAATAATCTGTGTCATTAATGGATTGAGTGGCTTGCTCAATCTATCTAGTGTGTTATCTGGATTAAAAAACAAACAAACTAGCATCTCTTTGGGTATTGCCATCCCTACATTTATTTTGGAGCCATTTGTAATGACAGAACACTTAATTGTCATCTGTTGCCTCTCAGTATTGGAAGGAGTGAATCACTCTGATGTGGTTTTGCCTTAGTGGGCTCAGCAGTCACTTCAGTTTTACTTTTTCTAAGAATTAAGCTTCTACTATTACCTGCCTGCAATCATGAAACCCTTTTTGAACCAGTAATGGTGCTGTATCTGAAAAAATCACCTGTTTTGGACTCTCTGAAAATATGAATGGCCACCGTATTTATATACAGATTTCCTTGGGGGAGGGACTGGATGGAGTGTGAACTGACCATCACGTTTATATTTACACTTACATTTACATTTACATTTACATTTACATTTACATTTGCATTTACATTTGCATTTACATTTACATTTACATGTTAAGGCCCTGGCTTTGTGTGCTCAAATATTGATGCATTGCTCAGTGCAATCCAGCCTGAAAGGTCTTCGTAGCATGGTCTGCAGTCATGTTTGCAGCATTCTTGTAAAACCAACTGCCAAACAATTGTTTTCCAAAACTTAAATGTGGTTCTAATTTATGGAAATTTGAAGTTGTTTACTGAAAAAAGTCCCACACTCTCCCCCAAACTAACCAGCCTAAGCATTCCAGGCTTTAAAGGGAACAGAACCGATGCAGAAGGCCCATTTGCTGTCGGAAATRATGGTGAGTTTTTAATCCTTCTTTCCAAATGGTCTTCTTAAAAAGAAGGTTTTAAAAGCTTACTAATCACCTTGTCTCTTAGTCTGGAATGATTGCCTTGATCAAGGCTATAGGTGTGGACAGGGAAGCAGAGGAAAGAGAAGAGGGAAACAAAGAAAGGAGAAGGGGGAGCAGCTCCATTTCTGTCCTTGGTGCAGCGCACGGTGCTGTCAGGTATGGATGGAGGGTTGCACTGATATATCCTCTCCAGCAGGGCTCAGATGCTTTCAGCCCCTAGGTTCTTGCTGCTGGAAAGGCACAAACTCCATATCTACACACAGCTTTTCCTTATTGTTMTCTCTTTCTTTCTGGAAATTCCCACAGCAGCAACGCACAAAGACCTGCAAGAGGGAACTCCACCTTTGGTCAGCATAAATACGAATCTGTTTTTGTGTCACCAGGCATAAGACCAAGTTAAGAAGTTCCACAGGCACCTGGGCTGGACTGGAGTGCCTCTTCCATGCTCAGATTTGAGAGAGCGGGTTATGCTTGTGGAAAATCAAAAAACCAACAATCTAAAGTGGATGGTTACTAGGCCAGGCAGGCATAGACTACTTTGGTTTGTCTGTTGAGAGAGAATGAAATGCTACAGATATGTGATTTAAAGGGATGTGGAAGGATGTGCTACCTGTACTTCCAGGGACAGCTTAGATAGCACATACTTTTATTCCTCCTCAGAACTAAGCAGCAAACAGTTCAGGAGATTAACTAGTCCAAAGTCTAGGATGAGCTGTAGAAAAGCTGKTTTTAAGGTGAGAAAGATGTATCCTGTTTCTCAAAAGAGTATGAAAAGCTGCTAGAAATTTGGTTG